GTCACTTTGGTTAGTTGAATGTTTATTTCTAAAACATTATAAGTTATCATTTGGGTTATAGTTACTTCTTAAAGTGTTTTCATTATGAGTAAATTTTTCGCTAAGAGTTAAGTTAGGTCAATGATTCGCTTGGGGACAACAATGGTTCTTGAGTGTCAATCCCGATTAGGATGTAGGATCGGGGCGTGACAATATATGACACCTCTAACCTTCAATTGCATTAATATTTTCTTCTCTTTTTATTTTTTTTTTCATTTTAAAATTAAATGTGTGTGATATGTAAAAAAAACCATCCTTAAATCACTTGATTACACATGTTAAATATGTATTCCTATAATTTATTATTTAGTTACTATTGTAATGTAATGATTGAGATAATAAAAAATGGATAAACTGTCTTATTCGACATACATCACTACTATATATACTAATATTATCTTTACTTTCAAACAATTACATATATTACCAGTTTTAATATTTTATACCATATATTAATATATTATTTGAAGATACAATTAGATTATTATATACCCACATACCTTAAAACTATGATTGATTAATTATCTGCTTAATTAACTCTTTCACTCCAAATCAATCATTATCTCTTAATTCTCCCCTCCCATATTTATCACTCAATTATGTCTCCTCCTTTATGATTCAGGAATTTCATCGTACAATTTCATTCCAACAATAGCTAATCTACTCTCTTCTTCTCAAGATATCATCACCATGGCCGACAAATTCTCCTGAATCCAAATATTATTATGTATTGTTCATTTATAACTAGATCAAATCAAAGTAACTGCTACAGAGAAAACTTTAATTCAGAGTGGGTCTTAATTGTTTGTCTCCGGAAGAAATGGATCTTAGTTTTGATTATGTTATGCTACAATGCAAAAGGATCAAAGGGAGTATTGTAGAGAGTTTTTGTTTGCTGGTGTTCTTCTAAGACTTTCTTTGGTTATCGTGACATGGATTTGGTAGTACCAATATTACTTTGATATAGCCCTTGAAACATGTGTATCCAATAAGTAGTAATCTAAATTAAGATCTGAGTTGTATTTTTAGTAATGGGGTGTCTGACCATGTATATGTATCCACCATTAAATTTTGGATACATGATTTTTAACAACACGATGATATTAATGATACGACAGATATTCTATAGTCGTGATTTGTTCCTAAATTCATGTGATTCAACTACATTTCATATTTAGATACATATAATTAAATGTATATGCTTATTATGTATTCGAGATACATGTTTTTGGATATAACGTATGAAATTTAAATACACATAATTAGATGTATATGCTTCTTCTTTTTGTATATTCCATATTTAGATACACATAATTAGATGTATATGCTTACTATGTATTCGAGATACGTGTTTTTGGATATAACATATGCAATTGATACTTGATACATCAAATTAGTACTAGATACATATAAAAGATACATGAAATTAATATTATATATATATATATATATATATATATATATATAAATAGATACATAAAATTAATACTAGATACCTATAACAAATACATGAAATTAATGCTAGATACTTTTATGATACATATGAATGTACTTGCAGGACACTCATGTATCTAAGTGTTTAGTTTGTTGGATACATCATATATTGATATAGATACATCAAATAAATGAATTTATTATTTTAAGAGTAATAATTTGAAATTAATCAAATTGCATTACCAAGATATACATGTTTTTATCTTATATTAATAATATTAATGAATTTACTATTTCAAAGAATAATAAAATGAAATTAATTATCTATGTATTTTGAAAATCCTCAATTACTCCTCTAATTAAGGAAATCAATTCCAACCAATTAATTTAAATAAATAAATTTTGTATCTCAATTTTAAAATTCGGCAGATACTGCATGTATCTCATGGATTCAGACTCATGTATCCTAAGCATAAAATATGATACAGGAAGTAATATTTGAAACTATTGAGAATCTTAATAATTAAGACCTAAACTAGTGGGATTTATGTGGTTTGCCCATAAAAAATTGTGGCTTGTGAGGACAACAAACAACAGGAAATGAGAAAATAATTAACTAATTCTTTTCAAAATAGTTACTATTTACCGATTAGACAACACACACAAAGACAACTTCTTCTTAAATCTGGAATTAGCATACGATTTATTTGGGAATTGAAATGCTTTTCACATTCGCTTGATGTTAGGTATTTTATTTTTGACATTTAATTATGGAGGTGATGATATTATTGTTATGTCGTAATTTTACTATTTATAGAAAAATCATTTTTTGAAATGTTTTAAATATAAAATAATTTGAGAAAAATACTTAGAAAAGAGTCACCACTTAATTTTGTAAAGAAATTAAGAAAACTTAATTTAAAAAGACTAACAAATTAAGTCTTTAAAATTTAGAGAAAAGGGGTAAGTGGTTCTCATTTACACTTCAAGAAGGTTTTTAAAGCATTTGAAGTGTCCGCTGACATGCGGTTATCCTACGATTTGGTTAAATATATTTTGACTATTTTTTTAGAAAAATGATTAACTTGAAAAAATTAGGTAAACAAAGAACAATTTTCAATTTTTAAGAAAAGAGGATATTAATTGAAATATTTGTATTAAATTGCAAGTGATTAAGAGTTTAACAAAATTAACAATAAAAATTACAGAATTTATTTGATTCATTTTAAAATAACAATTTAAAACCAATTTGATTATTTAAATTATGAAAACCATTTTAAAGATATTCAATAAAATAAGAAATTTTGTTAAAATAAACTAACATAAAGTATATAGTTAATCTTTTGAGGAATTTAATTAGGTTAATTAATAATTTTAGAGTTAATGATAAGAAAACAAACAATAAATAAAGACAATTAAATAATAAAGAAAGGGAGAGAATAATTTGGGTCTTTTGGGCCTATTGCTGCCCAGATCATTGGGCCAAAAGATGCTGATTTTTGGACCTCAAACCAATTCCTGTTTTTATATACACAAATTGTATATCAGTGTATATAGCTCATATATCAGCCTCATTTCCTGCCTTCCGAACCTGTAACAGCTCCACTTTAGCCTGTTTCAGCTTCTCATACAACCTATATTCTCTTCCCGAACTCCACATGATTTCAATTGCGAGGTTGTCTGGATAAGAAGGAGATTGTTGGATTTCAACCCGACGAAATGCAAAATGGGGAGCCCCGATGGACTCATAACAGAGACAAGAAGGGTTCCCATGTAACAAAAGATAGAAGAATAAACTTTGCAGTTGTTCGAGGGGAATAGCATGGCTAAAATTCACTATGATCATATTATGGAATTGAATATATTTTGATCATCTCATAATTGCAACAATAATAAAATCTAACTAACTAAAATAAGTCATTATTTAAATCTTATTTAAATCAATTCATCAAAATAATACAGTTTTTAATTATTTTTTTACAAAACTAGTATAAACGTACTTCATTGTAACATTTTAGGGATATTTTATTTAAAAAATAATTAAGTTGTGTGCAATATTGTGGATCAAGAAACGTAACTCTGAGTAACGTTTTCTGCCTAATACGTAAACGTTACTCTTACTACGTTTTACACCTAAAACATTATTCATAGTAACGTTTATTAAGAATCCACGGGCCATTGATATCTGCAAATTTGGAATCAAATCTTACAAATTAGTGACCTAAAATGTTACTGTAGTAACGTTTTACACCTTAAACATTATTCACAGTGAAACAGTCAAATATTTTAACACTAGCTCAATGCTAAAGGATGTCGAATTATTGGATTTGGACATTGCAGTTGCGAGGAAGGTCGTATTAGTGGTAAACAAATTTACTCTTTTCTTTCCATCTTTAATGTAGCACCATGACATTTTGATATGGCAATCATTTACAGGATAGATGACTCAAAATTATAGTGCCAGATCCGTTCCCTTGGAGAAGAGAATACACCAATCTATTAGTAGAGAGAAAAAAAATCGTATTTTACCATGATGATAAAAAAGAAGGAACAAAAATATAATTTAAATTATCTATTAAATATTCATGTAAAATATAAAATTACAATCCCCTATATTTGAATTTATTAGAGTCAAAACATAAAAAGGATTATAATTGTCTTTGAACTATGCGATATAGATCATTTATACTATCCGTTACATTTTTTAGGATAAAAGATGTTCTTATCGTTATCCTAAGAGATCATAATTACCCTTAAGACTTAACAACACTAATTCCGCCACCTAGGCTTGCCAACTAGGATGCCCACAAATTTTTTTGACCCAATTAATAACTCAACCCTAACTCATTTTCGCTAAACCCAACCCACTAAAATTAAGAGCGAAATTAGTGTCATCCACATCACTTCTGTTACGTTAAGGATAATTGTGGTCTCTTAAAATAACGGCGAGACATTTTTAATCCTAAAATATAACGAAGGATATAAATAACCCGTTTCACATAATTTATGGACAATTTTGATCTGTTTTTTGGAGTCAAAATAGTCCAATTTCATATCAATAGCGTGTGCAGGCGAGAGTGGTTGTTTATAGAGCAAAAGTGACTTTTCCTTGATAACATCATTCTCTTCTTTTCCCAAACCTTACTTACAGATTATTGTGACCAACTTTTTAAAATAAAATAAAATTGAGGCGGTACAAAAATTTCATGTTAAATACTTTTGTTCAATTTTGATAGCTACTAAAATAGTCACGTTAAATATTTTTGTTTGATTTTGATAGCTATGAAAATTCGCCCGTTAAATACTTTTATTAGATTTTAATAGCTATTAAATATTTTACATCAAATACTTTTATTCGATTTTAATAGCTACTAAAATTCGCACGTCAAACAGTTTAGTTCGATTTTGGTATTTATTACTTTACTTTTATTTACTCCTATATAGAAAAGAAATACGTTTAAGTTAGGGTTACAGGCAGGAACTGAATGAAAAAAAAAAGAACCCTAAGGTAATAGATAGAATCATCTTCTTGTTCTTAGAATTCAATAGAAAATTTTGTTTGTTTTGAGAATATAATGGGGAAAAGTACTCGTCATCCAATGGACAAGGAGATGATGAACAATTTGGTGAAGTATGTAATGGGGAAGCCATTTCCTCGTAAACATACTGTTATGGATGTCGATGATGTTTACGGAATCGGAGTATTCAGTCCATCACAAATCCTTGAATCTACCAAGGGCACAAATAACAACATACGATTGTTGATCACTTTTCAGAATAGAGAAAACTGTAAAGTATTTGCTAGTAAAGAGGCCCCTGGGTTTTGGAAATGTACACCCAAACGCAAGTCAATTTTTGATGCCAACAAGAGGCACATTGGCAACATCAAAATTTCGTGGTACTACTACTACAACGTCGATGATGGTAGAGACAAATCATCATCGAGATTGAGACAGAGTGAATGGCAGATTAGAGAATATTATCTCACATCCAAATATCTGCCCCAAAGCAAAGTTGAGAGGAAAAATGTCTTATTAACCATGATGATCAAGACCAAAGCTGTTGCTAATAATGATAATAATAATGACGAGAAGATGCAGAGGATTATTCTTGACAAGCAGGAGATTATGCAATCTTTACAATGCCTTAAACTTTAGTGATTGAACAACAGATTAGAGCCAGTTTCCTTTTTAGTTTATGTTAAAAAACATTACTGATCAATATTATCAGGTTCTAACTGTTGTTTACTAAGTTTTTTTTTTCTTCTAAATTTCCTTTATGTTTTATTCTACTTACAACTTGTGTGTGAAAGTAAGGTTTCTTAGTCTTTTGTGTATCTGGGCTGGTCTAATCTCTCTTTTTTAAGCATTGCATCTGATTGATGCCTTGTGATGCACATCTTACTTCATATATAAAATGTTTTATTCTGGTTTCTCAAACTCTTACGCGATTTAGCTAGTTTAGAATTTGAAAACACAGAATTTGGGAGCTTAACAGTATGTACCAAAAGCTGGTACACATCTTCCGATACTCTAAACTTTGCCATTTTGAATTTGGCAAAGTTTTCCTTTATTGTTTGTGCTTGTTGCTTAGTTATGGTCTTGTCAAAACTTGGAAGGTCTGGCCTATCTACGAACGATTTGTCTATTGTAGTTTTATATTAATTGTTCCATACTGCACTCTTCAAACCGAACCCAAGCTTAACTTAGCAATTCTTTACATCAGTTTAACTTTATTTTCCCTTTTTGAATTATCCCATGAGTTTCAACTTGCTTCCCTTTGTTTTTCTAGTATCATATAGCTTAACTACTAATTTAGGTTCTAATTATCAATGAGTTTAAAGTCGGAGAGTTCAATCATTTGCAAGCATAGTGATAATATCCGAAGAACTCTACTCTCTAAGTTGCTCTTAATTTTTAATTAGGTTTCTGAACTAATTGTTTCAGTGTTAGTTAGTGCTTCTACTTGGTTTTGTTTTGGTACATTTGCTTCTCTATGAATATCTCTTTGCCTCACTTAGAAGGTTATTTGGAGCCTTGTTGGCATTTCAAAGTTCAAATCACCCAAAACACTTTTTTTCAAATCTGCAAGAGCTGGGAGCATGTGAAAGTGACTGGTTCTGCACCTTCCCTTTTTTCTTCAATATAATTTTACATCTATTTAGTAATCAAGCTTGTGTTTGTTCTGACATTTCCCTCAACACTTAATTTTCACACATTGTTTCTTTTAGTCCATATGCATTTAATGGTTCTTTGTGAGTTTGTGTACATTTCTTGTAGAGGGCAAAACCAAGATGACAAAGAAAGCTGAGGAACTTCCTTTTTTTTTGGCGAGCTTGAATATGTATAGAATGTCTTCATTTATGTTTTTTTAGTCCAGCTTGGCGCTGTTATAACTTGTCATGCAGTTATTTGTGCTTTTACTTGGAAGTTTTTACAAGCAATATGAACTCCTGTACTGGTAAGAGCTATATGGCTCAAAAGGGAGATATTGCATCAATGCCTCGACTGAAAGAATTTTAATAGTAATATAATCCATTGTTTGCTGAGCTACAACAGGGGAAGTTAAGTTTTACAGTGTCTTCACTATTTTATGGTTTGGTATTTGTTTCTATATACTCGATCCCTTTGCTTTAAATGGAATCTGAAGATATTATACTGCAGTGTGTAAACTGGTTGGTCGACTGTTCATGCTTCAGAAGTGAGATATCAGCAGGTGGTTCTATGATTCTATCAGCCATTCATACTGCCCTTGAGGTGCATTAAGACATCTTAAGGGTGTATATCTTCTGGTTTGTGGGACTTGAATAACTCATTTGTTGAAAACTTGCCGAGGATAAAGATGATAATGGTTTGCAAGGTGCAAAGATGTTCCCCAGATTTTACCATGCAGGCGTATGTTTTCTTCTCCCGGTTGACTATTGATCGACAATTCAACATTCTACTAGGGAATTTATGAGTTGAGACTACAATTTTCCTCTTTCATATATCTAATTAATCTCCTTGAAATGTAAGAATATACAAAATAGGTCTTTATACATATTTTAATGTTAATGTTGATATTATTACTGTTATTTATGTGGTAAATAAATAGGAGTAATCCGTTACTGAATATTAAATATTAAACCGAATACATGTTTAGAAACTATGTAGTCAAATGCACTAAACAAAAGCATTGAACATTTACTAGAATGGATGATGTTCACTAACTTTATGCAAAAAGGAAGTGAATGATTCTACTGTTAGCTCCTGCTAGATATGTAATTATTTTTGCACTGCGTACCAGCGAGCTTTAGTGGCATGCTTGTTAATTGGATGGGTCTCATTGGGTAGTCGAAGTCTAATTTAGGTTTGCATTTCATTTCATTTTATGTTGGTAAATTATCCTTGTGAGTTCTTAGCTGTTGTCATGATGAGAGAAATGACCCTTCTTAGTCCTAAGTTCATTTTACTTTGTATCTTGTGCCATCTAAACAATGGTTTTCATAAAAACTCTGATGAGCTACTCCAGCGAATATCAATGAAGATTCTTGAGTCTATGGCTTTTCTTTGTCAATTGAGTTTGGAAATAGTGTTGTATAATCTGTTCATATGTATTGTGTGGCATCAAATTCATCCTCTCCTTGTGGAAGAATGTGTGCAAGGAGATACAGCTGATCCATAAACTGAAACGGTCGCCTTACCAGCCCATTGAATTCTTATTGTTATTGCCTTGCCCCAAATGGCACTCCTAATATCCTAAAAGCGTAGTCATTTTTACTTATCAACCCAAAACACGGAATATTTTTTTACTATATTTTCTAACTGTGTTGTCAAAGTTGGCGTTTGAGCCCTAAATGTAGCAAACTCTAAGGTGGTGAGTTTGTGAAAATGCCATTGACACATGCATCTTGGCAAAAGCAAACGGCAAACCAACCAACCAATGTTTTGTTTGAGAACACATAAATTTTTGAAGTTACATGAGTTCTGAATTGGTAAATAATATATAGCCAAAACAAAGCGTTCTATTAATCCTTAAGAAATGCCAGAAATTAATAAGAGTCTGCCAAGTCCATGATTTTGCAGATGCTAAACTTTTTTTTTTTCTTTTTGAGAAACGAATGCTAAACTTACTTTTATTAGTACCTGGCTGGTTTATGTACCTTTCTGTGAGGAATTAATATGTGATTTTTCTATGAGGATTTAAGACCAATTGCGTTTGGCAATCATCTCCACGTTTGTCCATTTTGTCATAGGCTCCGAACTTTATGTCTTCATCAACCGTCGTGGACTGGATCAGCATGTTGTTCCTGTGTGATTCCTTCCAATCGTGGAGATGAACAGAAATCGTCTCCATGTTTTGCCCTTTTGCATATTTTTCAATTCTCTGATTTTTCAGCTTTTTGCTCTAAACTTGGTCTTCCTTCAAATTTTTTGATACATTTATTCCTTTGTTTCCTTTTTAGTTCATAGACCTGAGAGTAAGACCAACAAAATAAGTGCTAGACCTTTACTTATAGAGAGGCTACAATTCAAGTAATAGACATTAGTTCCCAACTTATCAACTTCCTCAAGCTTAAACTTTTGCTTATACTTAATCATCAAACAAAACAAAATAACGAGAATATTTTACACATTAAGCACTCAAGTTTCTTATGAGTTCGGTTGCTATCAACAATTTACATCAAATCACTCGCATTCTCAAGACTCAACAAGTCTTTTTTGTACCTTTCCTCAACTAGGTGGACTATTCCAAAATTCGACCCTCAGATCTGACCCAGACTTTCACCTCGAAATATATTTTTCAAAAACAATTTTTTTAAAAATAAAAATTGACGAGGGGGGTGGGGGTGGGGGTTGTGGGAAGGGGGTGGCGTAAAAAATGATTTTTTCTTAAATTTTTTTTGATGGAGATGGCCTAGGTGGGGGTGGCGGGGGCGGGGGTAGGGGTGGGGTAAAAAATGTTTTTTTTTTAAAATTTGAATATTCCAAAAACATTTTCTTTAAAATAAAAAATCTGACGGGGTGGACTGGGTGGGGGCAACAATGGCGGAAGATGGCGTAAAAAATGATTTTTTTAAAATCTTTTTTGAAATATTTGATAGTAAAGAGGCTCCTGGGTTTTGGAAATCTACCCCCAAACTCAAGGGAATTTTTGATGCCAACAAGAGACACATTGGCAACATCAAAATTGGGTGGTACTACTACTACAACGTCGATGATGGTAGAGACAAGTCATCATCCAGATTGAGAAAGAGTGAATGGCAGATTAGAGAATATTATCTCGCACCTACATATCTGCCCAAAGCAAAGTTGAGAGGAAAAATGTCTTATTAACCATGATGATCAAGACCAAAGCTGCTAATAATAATATAATGACAAATCTGATGACAAGATGCAGATTGTTCTCGACAAGCAGGAGATTATGCAATCTTTACAACGCCTTCAACTTTAGTGATTGAACAACAGATTAGAGCCAGTTTACTTTTTTGTTTATGTTTAAAAACATTACTCATCTATATTATCAGGTTCTAACTGCTGTTTTTTTCTAAATTTCCTTTATTTGATAGTCTGATATAAGTTTTATTCTACTTACAACTTGTGTGTGAAAGTAAGTAAGGTTTCTTAGTCTTTTGTGTATCTGGGCTGGTCTAATTGATGCCTTGTCATGAACATCTTACTTCATATATAAAATGTTTTATTCTGGTTTCTCAAACTCTTACGCGATTTAGCTAGTTTAGAATTTGAAAACACAGAATTTGGGAGCTTAACGGTATGTACCAAAAGCTGGTAGGATTAATATTTTCTGTTTGGATTTACTAACTCAAGGAGTTAAGACTATCAGTTGCTTGCAAAATATGGTTCACCATTGTGTCTGGAGATGAGTTGCCAGTCTAATGGTGAGAGTGGGAAAGTTTCATCGCCTCGTGACATGAGTATTTTGGTGTATCCACAAGCTTCAGCGAGTTACAGAGTAGTGTGGTGTACCCACAAGCTGTACTTACAACTGATGGATGCATGTCAATGAACAGGGTAAAATGCGTGGTCCTTACATTAATGGTTTCGTCCTCTGATGCAAATGGACCGACGAATATGTACACGGGAGTTACCAAAGATTCAGGAGGAAATTGAGCCGACTTGCCAACAATTTCCCCCTATTGTAACTCAGGGGCTGAACATGGAACTCATTCCTTGAACCAGCAGATGGAGACTGCTGGCATTGCCGGAACACTTGCTCCGTCTACGTCTTTGGTGTTATTCTTTTAGTTACTTGTTTCTTCAAGCTGTCATGTGCAACTTTATCTCCTAAAAAAGTGTCCTGTTCTTGTTCCTGCATGGGCTGGTCAGATCTCGATTGTTCTTTTTGTCATTTTCTCCCTTCCATCTTGTGTCAACTTGGCCTTATTTAACCTGTAGTTTCTTCTCATTTATCTGCAGAATTATTTTCCCACACATCTTCCAATACTCTAAACTTTGCTATTTTGAATTTGGCAAAGTTTTCCTTTGTTGTTTGTGCTTGTTGCTGGGTTATGGTCTTTGTCAAAACTTGGAAGGTCTGGTCTATCCACAAACTATTTGTGTATTGTACTTTCATATTAATCGTTCCACACTGCACTCTCCGAACCGAACCCAAACTTAACTTAGCAATTCTTCACATCAGTTTAACTTTATTTTCCCTTTTTGAATTATCTCATGAGTTTCAACTCGCTTCCCTTTATTTTTTCTAGTATCATATAGCTTAACTACTAATGTAGGTTCTAATTATCAACAAGTTCAAAGTCAGAGAGTTCAATCATTTGCAAACATAGTGATAATATCCGGAGAACTCTACTCTCTAAGTTGTTGCTTTTAATTTTTACTTAGGTTTCTGAACTAATTGTTCAGTGTTAGTTAGTGCTTCTACTTGATTTTTTGGGTACATTTGCTTTTTAACATTTCATGTTTATGGTTAAAAGGTATGTTTTTTTGTTGACAATCCTCTCAAAATTATTCTTGATAAATGATTTTCAGATTTATTGGATGGTTCTGATTGAAACCTGGAAGGTTTTAATTATTTTTTCGGTAAGTGAGATGGGCATTCTCATTAACACACTGTAGCGCATGTCGCATGATGCTCTTTAAAGAGGTGTAGGAACGCCTGTGTCCTGTTGACGTAGACTCTTCAAGTAGTCAAAGTTTGTTGTGATTGTTGCTTGCTTTAGATCGTCTGGAATAGTTTTAATTTTTAGCAAGTAAGAGTTTAGGTTTTGAATTGGTTAATAAAGCCTTACCCACTGTTTGCATTTGCAGTTAACGATGCTTTGTCGGGAAACTGAGAGCAGGAGGGGGAAATGCTTGCTATTTTTTTCTTCTGAATTTATTGATTAGTGTCTTTTAGATTCCTTTTTATTTATTTATGAGTTCCATATCTACGGATTATTTTTCTAGTGAAAAGAGGGTAAGGTAATTAGTTGAAACTTGAAGCTTCTAATTATGTCATTATCGGGGAGAGAAGTAAAGCCTAACCATTTTTAATGCCATCTGCTGTCCTTATTTTTTGCAATAGAAGTTCTAGTGATTCAGTTAGGACAACAATATTTTATCAAGCAATACAAATATGCTGGACTGGCCATGATATTGGAACTTCAATCGAATCTCTTATTCTTAGTCCAAGTCTTTGCTATGTTTTCCTCCTGCTCTGCCATATTTATTTTACGGACCATTTGGTTGTGATTTCCTGTTGGGATCCTTACATTTACCTGATTGCAGGGATGAAATCACTGCTCTGCCAAGGCTAGGGCTGAATGATGAGTTGCAGCGTGTATTGGCCAAGATGAATCTATTGC